CTGGACCTTTYCTGATGGACTCTCAGTCCAGGAGAATGCACTGGGATGTTTCAGTGGGGCTTTTATCTCGATGGGAGCAGAGGACAGAACAGGGGCTGAGCTTCTCTTTGCTCCCTGCAGGCCGGGCTCGCTGTGCTGCTGAAGGCTGAACGCTTGTTCCACAGCAGCTACCACTCACAGGCAGTGCACATCCGGCCTGTCTGCAGGGTAAGTGCTGGGCTCAGTCCCTCCCTGAACACCCCAAAAGAAAATCCCAAGCCACCTTGTCACACTGCAAAGTGTTACACTGCAAGATGTCACGCTGGTTTGCCCAGCTATCCTGTGGTGGGTTCAGTGTGTCTAACACAGCTGTCATCCTGCCTCTCTGGTCACCCCAACGGGAATCTTGCAGTCCTGGTGGAATTCCAGCTCCGTCCTGGTGTCCTGCCCCTGCAGAAGGTGTGATCAGAGCTGCTTGTCTCTTTCTTGTCCAGGATGCCTCCTGCCTGGCTGTGTCCTGGGAGCTCAGACAGACCCTYACTGTGGTGTTTGACTTCTTTTCCAGTGGCCAAGGAAAGAAAGGTAAGCTTGGTGGCTGTGCTCGAGTGCTCCCAGTCTGCAGCACTGGACCTGCCACCTGACCTTGCACCCCACAGACTGGTCCCTCTTTAAGATGTTCTCTCGCACACTGACTGACACGTGTCCTCTGGCATCGCAGAGCAAAGTCTACGTTGACATCTCCCCTAAGAACAAGGTAAGCTCACGGGCCAGAGAGCATGCCCYGCTCCCTCAGTTCAGCCACTTCATGTGGCTCTGAAACATCCTCACCTCCATCTCCTGCATGGCCTGGCCCCTGGAAACCCTCTGGGACTAACAGAGGGAGGTGATTTCCTTGCTCTGAGCAGGGCAGAGGGGATGAGCCTGGTGGTGTTAGTGAGAGCAGAGTTGGCTGCCGGGTTGGAAAGCTCAGGGCCAGCTGGAGGGACTTTGTCCAGTGCTGCCAGTTTCTTCAAGGGGCACTTTTTCCTTTGATGGTCCATTTGCTCTCCTCAGGAAAAGGAGCTACTGGAAGTGTCCCCCCCTCCAACATCTGTACATGAAGCTGTTGTCCAGGGAGAGAAGAAAACCTATGCTGTGTATGACCTTCTGAGCCCCTCACTCTTCAACACATCTCGCAGCCTCAATGTGCAGCTGAAGTGGAAGCGGCCCCAAGACAGCTGTGAGTGAGCAGARCTTCACTTCATCTGCGCCACTGGCCAGGGCTCCAGGCCTGAAAATYACCCCGGTGGTGTCCTTTGTGTTCYGCAGTGGAAATGCCCATTCCCATCCTTCACGCTCAGCGGTACGTGGCGGGGTACGGGCTGCAGACSGGGGAGATCTGCACCCTCATCTACAACACCCACCCCTACCGGGCCTTCCCYGTGATCCTGCTGGAGACTGTGCCCTGGTACCTGCGGCTCTATGTGCACACCCTGACTATCATCACCAAGGGCAAGGAAAACAAGCCCAGTGAGTAAATCCTCTGTGGAACACATGCCACCCGATTCCCTTGGCATGAGCGGCTCATTCCAAAGATGGTTTAGTCCCTCCCTCAGGCCCCAGTGATCACTGGGAAACTGGATTGTGAAACAAAACATCTTAGGATGTTTTCCTAGCCTTGAGTTCACTGCTCACAGCAGTGAGATGAGACCATTAAGTCTGTTGTATAAGAGGCACATGGATGGTTTCATAAGCCAACAAGGGTCTAAACCAATGTGAATTAATTTTTGTACTACAGGAGGCTCAGTTTAAAACTGATGACTGGGTTTTATTTTGCATTTGTACCTTTCCTTACGAACACTTGACTTTCATGGGTCAGTAGCTTTAAAGACCAGCTAAATTTAGCTTTACACATGCTTTTTGCTATGGGTACATCTTYACTTGCCCAGAAAACCTCTCAAGACAGTGGGAGCAGGAGCATCCACTTCATGGGAGATGTTCAGGCAGTGTGAGATTGGATGAGGTCCCCCTGGTGCCATTGCTGACATCTCCTTGGGGTTAGGTTACATCCACTACCAGCCAGCCCAGGACCGGAGACGGCCTCACCTTTTGGAAATGCTGATCCAGCTGCCAGCCAACTCTGTCACCAAGATCACAATCCAGTTTGAGAGGGCCTTATTGAAGTGGACAGAGTACCCACCCGACCCAAATCACGGCTTTTACGTTGGGTAACGACATTCCTCAGCTCCTCATCCCCTCCTGGGCCTTGCACAGGACTTGCTGTCCAGGTCTCTGAGGATGTCTGTCTGGCAGGGCTGACACTGGCATGTTCTTTGTCCCCTTAGTTCATCGGTGCTCAGCGCCCTGGTGCCCAGTGTCACTGCGATGAAGGACATGGATGTGGAGCAGAGCCCTCTCTTCACCTCGCTGTGAGTGTGCTTGTGCTTGGGAGCAGGGCTGTGGCTGCTCTCATTCTGTCTGGGAGCATCAAGCAGTGCTCCTGTGCAGGCTGACCCTCTCTTTCCTTCTTCCACTCTCTAGCTTTCCTTCCTCTGATGGCTCCAGCTATTTYGTGCGCCTGTACACGGAGCCACTGCTGGTGAACCTGCCAACACCAGACTTCAGCATGCCCTACAATGTCATCTGCCTCACCTGCACCGTGGTGGCCGTGTGCTACGGCTCCTTCTACAACCTGCTGACCAGAACGTTCCACGTGGAGGAGCCGAGCCAGGGCGGGCTGGCCAAGCGGCTGGCCAACGTCATCCGAAAATTCAGGGGGGTGCCCCTGCTCTGAGAGGAACCAGGGCAGCCAGCACTGCCTGCAGGGCTCTGGGGGGGGACTCAGGGAGCAGAGCACTGCTGCCTCTTGTCTTGCTGGAAGCAGCTTTCTCTGTTTTGCTGCCTGGATCTCTCTTTGGGATCCAACAAGCTGAGAGATCAATTCCATTGCTAAGATGGGAAATGGCTCTCAGCCCATTAACTACTGAACTGCACTGCTATGGGATTGGGAAAAGCAAAAGACTTCTATTTGGGAGAGGTGTAACTTAACATACTGAGAATGGTGCTGGAAGTAAACTTGAGTGTTTTGTATATTTGTGCTGCTCCTGGTTGGTTTTATTTTCTCAGCCCCACAGGCAGAGTGGACCCTCTCAGACTGAGCTGCCAAGTCTGTAGGACACTGCCTGGGTCAGCTGGGATTTGATGAAGGTAGCACCAGGCAATGGGGTTTAATCTGCAGCAGAGAGAGGGATTCATCTGCTCTAACATCTCWCCTTCCACGATTGCCACATTTCACAGATGTGTCCTGTCACACTTGGCCACATTTGAGCCGGTTTGCAAATGAATTGTTGACTACAGTGTACCTCTGTACCCTCAGCAGTGGCAAGGGTTTATTTTCTATCTCAGGAAAAAAGCTTTTCTCATTCCCAACTTCTGTTTTCTGCATTTTGAACCCTCTCCACCTGCTCACCCCTCTGCAACAGCACAAGACCCTCCTCTGCACCCATGCAGAGGTGTCCTCAGAGCTTTTGGGAGCCTTGGCTCAGCAGAGCCTGAGTGCTGAGCTGCAATCAGCCCTGGACTGGGAATACAGGAACACCAGCACCGCTGTGCTCCTCAGTTATTTTCTCAAAATACAAATTACCAGCTTGTGGTTCACATAGAGCAGTGGGAGGATAGTGGTGGTGCTGCTTGGCCTCTGACAGTGCTGCTTTYGGGGGTAACGCCCTTTTTCCATCTCAGATGTGACTTTTATGATGGGAACTGATGCTGCTTACAACCAGCAGAACAAAGCACAGGGAAATCATTGGAAAAAATATTCCCCAGAACCAAAGCAGAGCACAGCCAGAGTGTGGGTTTCCCTTTAAAAGCTTCTGCTTGAACAGAAAAACCATAAAAATCCCATTGCCTCCTGTCCTGCATGGAACAATCTGTTCCCGTTGGCCTGGGATTACCTTTTCCTTCCATGCCAGAGATGCTCTTTACTCTGCAGCTTCTTCCACTCCACTGGATGGCCCCATGCAGCCTGCAGAGCCTGCTGAAATAGGAGTTTTGGATGATCCCTCTCTTGCTTGCTGTAAAAGGTGCCATGGGGCTGGGAACTCACAGTGCTTCCAGCTACAGCTCCTCCAGCCAGGCTTCAAGTGCAAAATGGAATTTCTTTATAGATAGTTGGCACTACAATCAAAACCGGAGCGAGCACAGGACCTTATCAATGTCTGAGCAGCTGAAGGGAGGGTGTTCTGAGGATGGAGCCAGGCTCCCCCAGGTGGTGCTGAACAATGGGATGAGGTAACAGGAACACTCAAGAGTTCCACCTGAAGAACTTTACTGCGTGGATGACTGGAACAGGATGCCCACTGAGGTCCTTCCCTGGAGACATTCCCATGCCCCCTGGACACAATCCAGAGCACGGGGGGTGGATGGATGGTCCCTGCCAGACCCTGTCCTGTGTGGCTCTGTGAAGCAGCACAGCACAAGGTGCAACAGACTGAGTAATAGCCACAAAACAAACAAACACAACTGAGTAATAGYCACAGAATATTCTGAGTTGGCACGGACCCATCAGGATCCTCTAACTCTTGGCTCTGCACAGGTCACCCCAAGAATCCCACCATGTGCCTGAGAGCATTGTCCAAACACTTTTTGAACTCAGWCAAGCTTGGTGCAGTGACCACTGCCCAGGGGCGCCTGTTCAGTGCCCGACCACCATTTGGGTGAAGAACCTTTTTCTAATACCCAGCCTAACCCTCCCCTGACACAGCTCCAGGCCATTCCCTCGGTCCTGTCACTGATCATGAGAGTGAGGAGATCAGAGCTGTCCCTCGTGAGGAAGCTGTAAGCAGCGATGAGCTCTCCCCCTGTCTCTTCTCCTCCAGGCTGAACAGACCAAGTGCGGCTCATTACAAGAACACATAAACACAGAAATCTTTTTCTCAAACAAGCCAACAGCGCGGCCAGGCTCTCAGCGCGGCCCGCGGAAGCGCCGCCCGGCCCGAGCGCAGGCGCAGTGCCCTCCGCGCATGCGCAGCACCCGCCCCGCTCCGCTCCGCTCCGTTCCCCGCCGCGCGGGGCTGCCCGGACCCGCCTGACGGAGCCGCCGCTCCCTGGGCCCGCCGGTCACAGCACCGCACCGGGGCCGGGAGGCATCGGGGACAGCCGGGCGGCCGCCTGGGCCTGCGGGGCCTGCCGGGAGGCCTCTCCCTCCGTCCTCAGGGCGGCCTCGGGATGGCGGCGTGAGGCGGCGGCACGGCGCGGTGAGTGCGGGCCGGGGAGCGGCGGGGTGCGGCCGGGACACTGACTGACCGGTGGGGACCCTGGGAGCTTCGGGGGTTGTGGGGGAAAGGGGTAAAGGTGTCCCCGCTGCGGAGGAGCCGCGCGCTCGTAGCCCTGCGTGCGCCGGGATGGAAAAGGCTTTAACCGGCCCTGAGCTCGGCGAGGTTGGCGCCAGCATGGAAATAACAGCACTGTGTGTGCCCTCCCCTCCTTTCCCTCTGCTGTCGGTCACGAATCTCTCGTAGCTCTCTTTAGCGCCTTCTGAAAGGAAACCCAGGCCCGTTTCTCCCCGGAGCAGCACAACGCTCTGACAGGCTTTTGTCCAGGCAGTTGGACTGGGATGGGCCTTGTGAGTCTTTTCCAGCTCACAGATATTCTGTGATATCTGTGAATACAGCGCTCTGCCGTGCTGTAGTGCCCGGCCAGGCACCCTCCCCGAGCCCCCATGCATGCTTTGAGCCAGCTACAAAGTGAGTTTACAAGCTGCTCCGTCATACGAGCATTGCTCATAATATCCCAAACATGCAAGTGCAAGAGAAGAGGAAAAACAAGCTCTTAAATTCAGTCCACAACATGCTGAACTCTCCCATATTGCCTTGCTACTGAAACCTTTCAATGGACCTTGCAAGTACTGCCATACTACAGTAACCTTTGTTTTTCCAAGCTATAGGTCGTAGCTGCTCATAGCTGCCCAAACAGCATATTTGCCACTCTTAACCTGAGATACAGAAACTCACCCTTTTCAGTCTCTATTTGGACCTCAGAAGCCTGCTGAAGGCACAAAAGGTGGAGAAAATGTCCAAAGTAAAAGTGCTTTTTTCAGGGAACTTGGAATAGGCCTGCAAGGTGTGATCTTTGGCAGTTAAGCAGAGGTAGAAGGTGGAAATGAAGACCACTGAAAATTAATAAGTTAGTACAAATTAAGGTAGTAATACTTCAGGTGACAGCTGTGAATACTGACATCTCTTCCCACCACAGAGCTGGCCAATGTAAGCTTCTGGTCCTCTGTTTCCTGATTATTTCCAGGCGCATTCCAGTTTCTCTGAAAAAACCCAAATCGTTTTTGTTTGGATGTCTCSTCCATTTTTTATGGAGATAAACACAGAACACTGCTGCCTTCCTGCTCACAGGTGGAGGCAGGTGCTGTGCTGTGAGGGTACTGCAGTCCAGATGGGGTGGGCACGGCCTCTGGACAAAGCCTAGTCCATCCCCCATCAATAATAAAGCTCAGAGGGTAGCTTTGGAAGTGATGAAAAGGGTGGCTCAACAGGGAGCCTCCACTTTTCCACCAAATGAGTTGCTTTGGCTTGTGTCTAGCTTGAGAAATCAGAACACTAACCCCAAGGCTTGATTAGTCAAGGATTTGTTGCTCTTTTTGGAAACTGTGATTACATTGCACCATTTCTGAGTCTACATCAAGTGTCCAAGGCATGAACTTATCCAAGACTAGGATAAAGCCTTTGCCAAAAATTATGGACTCACTCTTTCCAGCTGAGTCATACCAGCAGATGAAGCTTTTAAAAAAGTTGTAATAATAGTGGCAAGGCTAAAAAAACCTTGGAGAAGTTAATCCCTGCTGCAAATAGGTCTCAAAGTTTGAACGGTTGTGATTCTTGRGTTTATGATAGAAGGTTGGCATCTGGGAAGCTGGTTTGCTGTTGCTTTTCTTAGCTGAACTCTTTAAACTTGTCACTTGATAGTTCTTCACCTCTCTTTTTGTCCCAGTGCTTAGGATGTTGTGTATTTTTTAGCAGCTGTTTTGGGTGCAGTGTGATATTTGAGTTGGTTTTGAACACATGCTGGCAGTGTGAAGCACTGCCCACACTCATCAGTTAATAGTTGTAACAGGGTTTTTGATAAAAACAATTTTAAGCAAACAGGTGAGCGCTGTAGGTAAGAAACACATCCTTGAGACTTAGTCTTCAGTTTATATGCACTGTATACTTTGAAAGACTTTTATCTAACCAGTGTGGCTTTTCATCACAAGCAGAGACTTCAGCTTTTGGGAAGAGGGGAGAATGGYACCAGCATGCCCCAATAAAAAGGTTACTCAGTGTTTTATCACTGACTTCTCAGCCTGGGAGACTCTTTCTGTAGCATCTGCTGGGGAGATTCCATGTGGACAGCACWGGCTTAAAGGCTGCCTTAGTAAGGCCTGAACAAGCTTACCCTTGGAGTGCTTAGGGAAAGCTGGCTGATYATTCTCCCCTCTCAGAGCAGTGGACTGGTAAGGAATTTGAATGTTCTTGAGAAAGGTACAGACTCACTATTGGCATAGTGATGTGTCAAACCTATGGTGTAGGAACACTCTCAGTGTGTTAATTGCTGAATTARTTTGTAGAATATGAAGGAGCAGCTTGCTAGCTCCTCAGATGGATTTATCCCAAAACGTGASTGATCATTGTGAAGCAGTGCAGCATGCTACTCACTTTAGACCTGTCATAATTGAAGTTTTGTGTCTGCTTAGGAAATTATGCTGCTGTCTTCACACTGGAATTCCAAAATCCTCCCCACAAACATATGCGGGTAGGACCTGAATGTTTTTGGGAGGGAAGATGACAACAGGAAGGGCTAGGAATGCAAYGAAGCCAACTAATAAGCATGTGGAAGAGTACTGGTGTTCACTTACTAACCAGGTGCACAGGGAACCTACCCTGGCTCTCCTCTGCCTCCAGGAGCTGGCTCTGGTATCACATGGAGATTAGACTGAGCCAAAGTGGGAGCATCACCAGCTCTGCTGCTGAAGGGTCTGAAGTGAGTTCAAGTGGCTCCAAGGGCTGCAGAGGGGTGAGAGGAGGTGGTGGAAAGGAGCCATAGCAGCACAGGAGCAGGCTTGAGGGTAGCAGGACACTGGGCTGGCTGAGGCAAGAGGTGAGTCAGGCAGGGGACAACAAGCGCAGCTGGTTGAGGGAAAGCAGGATGTGGTTGTGAAACCAGTTCTGTTGGGTGACAGGYTGTTATTTGCTCTGGAACATGGTAATCTTTGGCTTGGATCATGAGGAAAGGACAAAGACAACAAGGTAGGAATCTTTAATTTGTACATTTCACCTTGCTTGAGAATCCAGGTAAAACTGAATATTTTGTTGTGGYTTCCCAGAAGGATCTGCCTGTCCTGGGCATGAAGGAGAACGTTCCCTGCTCAGTAAAGAGTTGATAGCAGGAGGTGCTGTTTCTCTTTGATCGATACGGTGGAAAGAAAACTCAATTTCATTGCTAGCTGTACAAAGAATCTCTAGTGAAGAGTACATATCTTACTAGTGCAAAGTCCCTTGAGGAAGATAGAGCTGTAAAAGCCTCCAGTAGTACTTTATGTARGATCAGCTGTGGGATGCAGCAAAGGCTCCTCAGCTTTTAACTGGTGGATAGCAAAGTGGCACATGAAAATACAGGCAAACTGTCTGCACATACAAAGAGCAACTGTTTGAATGTCTGCATTTGTCAGAAATCCAAGAGGTTTGCAGGTTGAAGGGCAYTGGCATTGAAACTTCATAGTAAAAATAACTACTATTAAATGRTTCTTTATTCTGCAGAGTGGTTGCATTGATTGCTACAAGCAAGCAGCTCTTGCAGGAAATACTAATATTTAAAAATGAGTAACTTGTTCTGAGATGGCTTTGTATTTGTAGGAAGTGCTCAAGTAAAACTTAGATGCTTAAAATAAACTCAGTGGTTTTGGGCATTATTGTTCAGAGCATTGCAGGAGCGAGGAGGCCGGATCATGAAGTACAAAGTGTAGCTACAACACAAATTATAATTATTTTCTAACTGTAGTCAGTTGTAAAGTTTGGAGCTAAGGRCTCCATAGTGATACATGACCCTGTTAAAGCTGAGGGACTTGTGACATGAATTCTGGAAAATTCTAGTGCTTTATTTCAGCCTTGTGCTACTTAACAGACACATTCTTTACCCATTTCTTCACTATAGGGACAAAAAGCCCAAAGCAAATTAGGCACTTTAAACTTAARTTTCAAGAACAGGTGACACACACTGCCCCAGAAGTCAGTGGCAACTTAGGACTGGATCTAGCAAAAACATGACAGGATGTTTATGCTGTGGTTTTTAATGCTCGATGTTTGTGAGGAGAAAAAACATGCAGGAAGCTTCAAGAAAGGAACATTTCAGGAGGATTAAGGCAGCTGCAGATCATTGATTTAGTACAGCTTTGCTGCATTCAATGCAATCTGAACTAAAAAGTTGGATGATGGGGTTTAATTACCTTCCTGTTCAAATATTTGTTAGATCTTTTTCTMTTCATTCTTTCCCTTGGAAAAAAGTTCTCCTGTACTTCTGTGGTATTGTTGACTCCAGAAATCTGAGCAATTCACAAAGACAGCAGACAGCATGTTTTATTATGAAATGAGTAATAGCTAGTTCCAGTTTGTAGATGGGGAAAAAGGCTTGGGACCAGACTTGCCCTTAAAGATGCAAGTGAATGACCTGCCTAAAACAGGACTAACTTTGGAACCTTTATTCCTGTGACTAGGCTTTATCTATATTGTAGTATTAAAACTTCTTCCTTTCTCTTTGACTGCTGAGCTGCAGCTTAGATTTACTAATTGAACTCCAGCTGCCCTCTCTGCTGGAGAACGCTGCCTTGCAGGAGAGCCAGCACAATGTACTTTCCCCAAATAATGTTTGTGCTGGTGGAGGTGTTGGCCTGCATGTTCTTACTAACATTTAAATAAAATAGATCCTACTGCTCAGGATGGCAGCGTTTYCTGCTGCTGACAGCAGAGCCCATCRGCACCTGCGAGACAAGTCTGACCTCTGTGCTCTTTTGGAAGAGAACCATGTGTGGTTTTCTCTTGGCTTTTCTATGCAATCCCTCATCCTCCCTCCCTTTGCCAGGAAATCCCTTCTCCTGCCAMCAGGAGCCAGTGGAATGTGCTGTTTGTTTACATTCTCACTCCTTCATCCTACTAACCTTCCCACCCCCCAGCTGTAATCCTAACAGGCTCGGCTGAGCCCTTCATCCTTCTGGGGGAGCACTGCTCTGTTGAGTAATTGCAGATACAAGGATTGCTACGAGGAGCTGTCCACCCCCACCAGACTCTCCTTAGTGGGGGTGAGGCATTTATTATTTTTATAGCCATTTGAAATTCTTGTAAGTGTTTGTAGTGCTTCAAAGGAAAAACAAAAGCACACACTTACTGTCATTGAGGTGGTTGCTAAAGGTAGAAGCAGGTTTTCTGGACTTGTAGCGTGCTGCCATCCCTTCTTAAGAAGGCCCGTAAAGCTCAGTTTCCACAGGGTTTTATAATAATCCAAGTGAGGAAATCCTGTGTTTACAGCACTTATGGAAATTGCCATTTTGAGCCTGTCCCCCCTTTGATCTATTCCCATACTTTGTCTTATTTGACTTCAGCTATTTGACAAGGATTATAAATCCTTAAGCAGGGACTGTCCTCCCCTTTGTTTTGCAGCCTGGACACTGCCAGGGCTTTCCTCGGTAGCTACATGGGTGGCTGAACTATTGTGTTGTCCTGCTGGAAGACTTTATTGTCTGTGCCTGGGTGGAAGGAGTKTGTGTGCTGAACTATTCCCAGACACTTCTTAATGTGTTAAGGGACACTAATGCTCCCTTAACACATCTCTGTAGCACCAAATAATTATTACTCAAATAATTATATATCATCACTTAAATTTTCGGACTGTCTTGGATAAATATGTGTAGGGAAGGCTGTGGCAGCYTGTTTTCCTTTCCATTTCCMCTTTTTCCCTTTCTGTTCCTGCACTATGCTAAAAGGGTCKCACTTGTTAGCCCCGATAAAGGCCTGAGGAACTGAAGACACAGGATACACTTCTACACCAGCATTAGCTGATCCTGTCCCCAGCTGAGCGGTTCAGAAAGCAGGAAGCTTTCCACCAGCTCCAAGACACACCAGAATTTAGTACTGGGAATTCAAACATCAGCATGTGAATGCTTGGGAATAAATGAAGCTTTAGAAGAATGTCAGATAATTTTTTCCCTGCAGTTTTTTGACAGTCTGACATTTTCCCCTCCCTACAGAACAGCCTGCCTGCTGGAGGAGTTGCTGAAGCCTGTTCTGGAGCACATCTGACTGCTACTGCCACGAGSCCCCAGCCAGCCAGCCACGATGTACTGCCTTCAGTGGTTGCTACCTGTCCTGCTCATACCCAAGCCCCTCAACCCAGCATTGTGGTTCAGTCACTCAATGTTCATGGGATTCTACCTGCTCAGTTTTCTCCTGGAACGGAAACCTTGCACAATTTGTGCCTTGGTCTTCCTGGCAGCTCTRTTCCTCATCTGCTACAGCTGTTGGGGGAACTGTTTCTTGTATCACTGCACAGGATCCCAGTTACCGGAATCAGCTCACGATCCCAGCATAGTGGGCACCTAGAAAATCATAATCTTCCACTCTGCAGAGGGCTCTTGTTTTGCTTTTAAAATGGGGGTGGGGCTGGGGAGGAGGGGGTGTTGGGTATGGGMCTGGAGTAAGGACAGCCTGTTTCCTGTAACTGTGTGTGGACTAGAGTGGCAAATTCTTCCCACTCTGCCTGTGAAATTCGACTCGTTTACTGTGTGAACTCTGGCAGCACCACCTGCTTTTTTAGAAGCAGAAGTCTTTTTTTTTTTCCTTTCCCGTATCACCGGGAACAGACACCAGCCCTCTCAACTGAGAACTGCTAGAAGCCTGAGCCGCTGGCTCCTGCCCAGCTGGGAGTGCTGGAGTTGTGTGTCACTTGTCTGCATTAGGCCATGGTGGTCTAACTCAGGACTCTTGGCCCACTGATCCTGCTCGAATAGCTACAAGATTCTCTGTCTCTCTTTGTGGGGAGCCAGCCTTCCCACCTTGCTGATCAAGGGCAAGTGCAACAGCTCACAAATGGACTTGGCCMAAAGCTGCTGGAGCCAGAGGCAGTTGAGTCATCTTCTCCTGCTCAGCCTGCCAAAGAGATGTGTGCACTGCTGAAGTGCTTTCTGAACTCTGTATGCTCCAAGATCCCAGTCTGAAAGCCTCAGTTATGCTGCTGCTTTTATAAAGCCTCACAGGCAGTAGAGACTGTCTCTTCCCCTCCTCCTACATGTCCCAGGTTTACCAAGGTATTGACTGTTGAGATAAAGAACTGGCATGCTGCAAGACACAGGGTTGTGGAAGCCACTGTGAACTTCACCCTACAAAACTCGTGCTGGCCTGAAAGGCTGGGTGTGGGCAGGGCAGGAGCGGATCCGCAGGTGGAGGCATGGCTTGAAGCAGTAAATGCTTCAGCCATTTTCAGAGATAATGGTTTTGGGCCAGAGGTGACAAAAGGTGCTGGTGCTACTGATTAGAGAAGGGCAGAGGCTGGAAGAATGCCTGGTGTCTCCAGCTTCCCTGGCAGAAGGATGTCAAGAATCCAAGATGGTGGTTGGTCAGGCATACAGCCTGGGGCAGAGGTTGGTTTGTGAGAAGCCTTAGAGGCTGACATGAAACGCTTATCTCTAAACTTTGAAGGTTTCCCTCCACTTTGCCATCTGTTTGTCTTKCCTTGAGTCTTCTGGTGGAGAGCAGCAGAAGTGGCCATTGCTCTCCTGAGGCAGTTCACGCTATGAGGTTGTGAAACTTCCAGAGTATTGTTTGTTCATTGCACAGCTGTTCAAAATGTTTAATAAAGCTTTATAAACTTTGGTCTATGGCCTCCTGCCCAGCATGATGCATTGGCTGTTCATTGTGGATGCCTCAGCCCAGCAATCACGTGTCTGTATTGTTCTGTTCCCAGCACAGCAACACTGAACAGTCTACAGTGAGAAGCAGAGCTTGTTTGCCCTGTAGCTCCCAGTACTGGCTCTTTTTGACTGTTTAACCTGACTGTGGGCAGATTGGGAGCTAGACTGGCAATTCCTAAACAGCCTCATCTCACAACCAGAAGCACCYGTGTCATGTGTGTCTCCGCACTTACGGGACAGGTTCCCCTTTTTCTTGCTGCTTATGAAATTAAACCCCCAAGSTGTGTCCTGGAAGCTGCTAATCCCCAGTGCACACACACAGTAAAAGTGTCTGCTGGGTGCTCATGTGGTTTAAGCCCATCCCACGACACCACATCACCCCAGCCTGTCCCTCTGCTCAGGGCAGCCCAGCTGCCACCAGCCATGCACGGGGAYGTGGTGGTGTGAGCCGTTCCCCAGCCTTGGCCACGTTCCTGTGTTGAGTGGGGAGAGACAAGACTACAGGAGACAACAGTGCCCAGAGCAGCTGAGAGGGTTAAAGGGTGGGTGTTGGAGCTGAAACAGGCTTGCTTTATCCCTTGCTCCRAAGACCAGGTTCAAGTTGGAAAGAGGTCAGGGCATATTAGTGTTTACATGATTAAAAAAACCCATCTACCACGTCAAAAATAGATGTGACAGCTCTGTCACCTGTCAAACCCAGGGAAATCCCAGTAGCTGTCACATCAACTCAGGCATAAATAACAAATGGAAAGGAGAGGGGAGGGCACTCACTGCAAGCCATGGCACAACTGTGCCCTGAGCAACTTTTAAGTTTCAATGTATTTAAGCTAATGCACTCAGTTCTGTCAAGAATACACCTTTGTTGCCTACTAGCCAAGTTGCACTTTACAGCAATTTAAATAAATCCTAGCCACCAAGGCAGACAACCCTTGGATGAGAGGAAGCCCTGGCTTTGTACATGGGGTTCAAGACAAGGTGCAGCTGCAGGCTCTTGCCTTCTGTGAGGCTCAGCTCAAATAAAGCACTTCAAAAGAGAAAGGCTGCAGGACAGCTCTCTGGGGCAAGAAACCTCCTGCCCCTAATGAAGAGAAGGAGCACTCTTTGATATGCACACAGCCCTCCCCAGCACATTCTGTTTCTCTCTTTAGGGCCCTGAGATACCATCTTCGTTTTAAAGATAGAAAATTAAAGCAACTTTGTCATGGTCAGACAGAAAGCCTCAGGCAGAATGAGGAACCCAACCAAGTCTCACAGGCCATGCTAATGTGTGGCTCGTCCTTCTCTGTAAAGAGACAATGAAAAACCAGCCTGTGAATGCAGAACAGGTTGAACCCGATGGSTTCTGAAAAGCAGCATCACAGCTTCCCTGCCTATGCACCACAGATGGGCTGAGCTGCACAGGCACAGCCAGAGYGCCCAGCCAGGCTTTGCCAGCTACATGGAAAAATGCTCACACACGAGATGCTTTACCCTGGTCTCGAGGAGCTTCTCTGCCAGAAGAACAGTGGGGTGGCTCTGTCCCTGGGGGCAGCATGGTATCTCTGTGTGGGGACTGCAGTGGTGGGCAGCTACAYCAGTGACTCAAACAGTGGGATTTAGAACACAACCACTGTGTTGTGCCAGGCCCCACTGTGGCTGGACACTGCCCGTAAGTGTCACTTGACACTTTGGCACTGAGTGAGTCTCATCACCTTGCTGAATTACAGAGTGTCCATCTGCCTGATGCTCCCTAGATACAGGGAGCTGGAGCCTTAAGCTGTTCCTTTGTCTTTCCATATGAAGGAGAGATCATTTTCTTTTCTAGGTCACATAACAGATCAGTGACACCGCAGAGTCAATAACGGAAAAAAGGCAAAACAAAAACCAGCCCAGGCTCCAATCCCTAGAAACAGAGATGCAGCTTGGCTCAGGCAGTCCTTGGACTCCTCACTGCAGCCTTAGGGTCCAGGGGCTTTTCATTCATACTCATCCTCAACCCTTAGGGAGAGGGAGCATCCCCAGGATGAGCAGCTGGAATACCACAAGGCTTGCCATGGTACGGCTTTTTGAACCTTAGATCTGCCTGCCATCCATGATAGTTAATCATCTGACACTTGGCAGTTGAGCTCCCCAGCAATGCTCGGGGTGCAGGTAGGAGCCAGCCTGCTCTCCCAGCATCTGCCTCTCATCCAGGGATCTTGCTGGGTGATTAATATCTCCTGCCCTGATTCTCTTCCTGCTCRCCCTGAGACAAGCCCACAACAAACAGCAGCAGCCAGAGGATCCATGATCCCATGGAGGARCCATTTGGGTTGGAAGCACCCACCAGTGGGCTCAGAGAGGCAGCCAAGTCCAGAGGCACAGCCCCACTGCCAATAGCACCAGCCTTGTCCCCTCGTGCTGTCACCCAAGCTGGCCCAGTGAAATCCCCTGAGCCAGAGGAGACACAAACAGCATTCAGGGTCACTTGCCCTGCAGCTTTTCTCTGGCACCAGGTGGTTTCCCAGCCGTGGGAGGTAAGCTACAGTCAGGTAAGGACTTTAGCCTTCCCCTCCAGAGCCTGGAGATTAACCCTTGGCAAGAGGGTTTTGCTACTCTTCCAGCAAAGGCAAATCCTCTGGTAGCAGGGCAAGGGAGGACAGATGGCTCAGGTGCCACCCCGACCTGCTGCTGGAGGGGCTGAGATCCAAGTGACAACAGGCTGTGTCCTCTGAGTCAACGCATGCTGGCAGCCTCCTGTCCACCCCTTGTTACCAGTGAGTAACAGGCACTGTGGGAGCTGCGGTGGCACTGCCAGCAAAAGAGTCTGACACAGGGGCACAGTCCTGCTGTTAGCCAGCCCTTTAACAAACACCACCCTGCTCCTGCCCCAGGAGCCCTTCTGCTGCTTTTGGGCTGTGGGAGAAACCCCAGACTCTCAGCACAACTCAGTATTTTCAGCTCAGGTCTGCCCCTGTGTACTCCAGAGCATTTATCTTGTGGGAGCCAGGACTGTGTTCTTGGGGAGTGCTACCACTGAGCTTTGGGAAAGTGAATGGGATGCTCAAATCAAACAACTCATCCTCACCATTTTCCAGCCCATTGCCAGCACAAACTGCCTGGTACTGGACCCCTGCCTCCTCACTAGAGCTGCTCTGGGGCCAGCCACAGCCCCTAATACCCTCTTCAGATGCCTCAACTGCCACTGAGGCTGAGGGGGAGAGGAGGAAGCAAACAGTGCCATAGGCAGGACTTTGAAGTTCTGAATCCACTCCCCTCATGCCCTATACGCAAACCAGCTCAGTCCCCCATGCTGTCCTGAGTTTGGGCTGGACAGCAGCCCCTCAGCCTCTCACAGCACCTCCATTTGCCTCCCCATGGCCATCCCACTGTCAAACAGCAACACCAAAGGTGCAGATTTGCACAGCCTCAGCTTTCCTCCTGGGGTGACCTCACCAGCCCACCCCCAGCCCACACRTTGCACGTGGACCAAGGGACCTGCACACAAGAGATAATCCCTCAATCGCTTAATTGTTTTAAAGACAAACAAAACATMAAGCATTCAACACTGAAGGTGAATCACTGAGTCACCAATCTGAGGAGGAGGGAACAGCCAGACTGGGCRCTTGAGACATTAAAGCCATCCCAGACCATGGTGATGGCAGCAGTGATGGGGTAGCAGCAAYATCCACCCTGTGTTTAGAAAGCCTCCTACCCCCAGCGTTGTGCTGTGTATCGATTACTCAATCACAGAGTGAGGGATCCCAATCAGCACCCACTAATTACCTTAACAGAGCAGGTCTGTCTTTGAGTTGCTGATGAAGCAGATTCTGCTGAAGGGAGGCTGCCCCTTTCCTGTCCCCCCAGCCCAGCCAGGGTGGCTTCACCCAGGGACAGTGTCCTGTGCGCTGGATTCTGGTGGCACAGCCWCCATCCCTGCCCTGCCCTGTGCTTGCTTTGGGCCACGCACTGTGGCATGTCCCAGGCTGGGGGCACGTGGAACACCCCTCCGTGCCCAACTGCAATCACTCTGCCGCTTCATGTTCTTCCAGGACTGCTGGAGATGCCAGACTTGGCCCTGATCCTGTCCTGAACCAYGAGCCTGTGTGGGGAATGGCTCCAGTGGCATGGAAGCAGCATCAGACCCCAGAAGCATCTTCCAGAAAAAGTGTCTAAAGCACCAAGCGCTTCACATGCTTCAGGTACCATCAGCTCCTCAAACAGGGATGCTAAGGAGCTAAAGAGTCCTCTCATACACAAGCTACACTTTTGTTTTGTGAGGTCTGTTTGTATTTAATTATCAAATAGCAAAGTATTTACATCGACGTTAGAGTTTCAAAGCATCTTCAACCCCCCCACCACCCACAAAGCTGGACCTTTTCAGGTTTTCTTCCAAAGTTTTATTATTCAAAAAAAAAAAAAAAARAAAAAAAAAGCTAAATATCTTACTTAGACACCAAAAAAGGCAGGTGAGGGGAGCTGGAGAGAGAGACACAGATCCACATGTTCTCTGCATAGTCAGTTGGAGATCTTACAAAAGACTGTGTAAAAAAATTATAACAGCAGAGGAGAATGACTTGTAGGGTTTTATGGACCCCAGGAAGCCAAAGGGCATCCTTAGGTGGGGGCTCCCCTCTGGAGTTCATTGGCTTAAAAACAAAATTGGCAGACAGAATGATGATGGAGGGGAGGCTCTGAATTCCCAGCGCCTCCAGTGATTCCGGTGACGCTGGGTCCCTCCACGAGCACTGCACAGAAACACAGATGGACACACGGACATGTGGACACACAGCCCTGTGCAGGAGGGCTTCTCTGGGATTGCCTTACTGCCTTCTGCCCTGAAGGGTCTCCAGCATGTCTCCTTTGCCAGATCCTGCTGAAAGGCTCAGGGAATTAAGCCATCCTGGGGTGCTCCTTGCACCTGCYGCCTTCCAGAAAGAGAGAGGCTGCACCCACTGAGTGAAGCCCATTCCCGTCCTGCTGCATCCAAGACCCTGCACGTGCCACCAACAACCAAAGGCCAAACCTTAACATGTGTGCTTGCCTTCTCTCTCCCCAGCTTCCAGACCAAACCTGGCTTCTGCACGTTACAGCTGTAAAAGGTTTCTCCCAGGGGTAGGGATTTTATGTMATTCAGGCAGAGCTATGGCACAAGCCACCCCTCGGAAGAGCTACCAAGGGACAGGTGTCTGTGGCAGCTGGAATCTGCAAAAAGGCTGCAAACATGGGAAGACCTAGAACATCGAGGTTTGGGGGAGTCCCTGCCCAAATACAGAAATGCTGACCTGCTAGGAAGGGAGGGGGAGAAAAAAGACTCCAGCTCCCAAAACGATTTAAAAAAAATCCATTAAATCAGCTGCTGCTCTTCAAGCCAGCAGGATCTTTCCATACCACCAAAGTGCCCGTTCAAACTCAAGTTTTACTCATTAAAAAAGGAGCCACACACCAACCAACCATGTACTTGGTTCATAARTAAGTGGCCAGGGGGCTGTGCGAGTGAGTGAGAGGCAGTGTTGTGCCTGGGCCCTGCTCTGTTGGAGATCTGGGGTGGGGGTTTTGGCCACCACCTGCCCACACTTGGCTCCCACCCAGCTTTCGAGGACACCAGAGCCATGGCAGGGGCTATGAGAGGCAGGTTGGATGTTGGATCTGCTGCCTGCAGGGAGCCTGTGCCAGAGGGAAATACCACCCCAAAGATGATGGGGAGGCACAGAAACACTGAGGAGCAAGGGGAGGGTACAGCCACTGCCTCTCCTCTCCAGGTCCCTCCCTCCAACACCCCTGCCCCTCAGCAACCCCTGAGTCCCCAACCCACCATGCTCCAGGAGAGCATCTGAAGACCCCCAGATCACTTTGAGCAAGAATCTGTGGGACCCAGGAGGTGAAGGAGTGAAACTTTGTGAGCCACCATGGTGAAAGGTTTCCAGCTGGGTACAGCCACAGGAGGGGGAAACAACACATGCAATGAAGTCAAGGTCTGGGACGGTGCAGGGATCACTCAAGGATTATGTACAAGCAGGTGCTGGGTGGGAGAGGGCAGGGAATGAGCATTGCCTTGCCAACACTAGGGATCAGCCCCACGGGATGTGTGTGGGACAAACCCGGTGCTGAGGCCTTTGGGAGCGACCAGGGGGAAGATGAGGATGCAAATGTGGCACAGCACTTCCCAGGACTCCTTCCATCCTTCCAGATGGTGGCACACGGCTGGGGATGCTGCCTGGAAGCTGAGACACAGTGGGTAGAGGGAAGGCAGCTAAAAACRTACCAGGTGGACAAAAGAATCTGTCAAAGTCAAGTACTTCCTCCAAAGCATTCCCACACCCAGAACAGCTACATGGGCCATGCACCCAAGCCCCACAGTGGCACTGGATTTGGTGGCAGGGCTGGCCCAGGGGGACTCTGCTGGTGGAAARCTGGTGGCAGAGCTGGGGAGGGTGGCTGGGGCTACTTCCCAAGAGTCTGGCTGGAAGACCTGGAGCACGTGGTGGGAGAAAGCACAGCAGGGTGAGGGCTCTGCTGGCATCCCCAGTCCTGCTCCTGGGAGAGGTGAGGTGTGTCCCCTGGGGGAACAGACATAGCTGGCAGATTTGATCTGTGTGCCCAGGTGCTCCTGTGGGGCAGTGTCGGTCACCAGAGCCAGAAGCAGCCACCTTTCAGGGTCCCCGGACCCACCAGCCGTTAAGGTCATGGTGAGGCCACAGGGACCACCAGAGCTCTGTCCTCCCATGCCACCACCACCACCACCCTGGCACATCACCCCCTTCAAGCCAGCCAGGGATTGTGTCATCCTTGTGGCAAAACATCTCTGCCAGCATCCTCAGGAGAACCGGAGCCAAGGGGGAGATTGTGGGGGGGGTGAAGGGGCAGGGACATTTGTGCTGATTTAGAAAGGGGGTGCAGGAGACTGGGACTGTGTGTCTGAGGTGGGGTTTTGCTGTCCCCCAATTCCTCCCAGCTCACGCCTGGGGGGGTGCTGGAGGGGGTAAAGTCTCCCAAAACCCAAGTCTGTTGGCAGGAGATGCTCTGCTTGCCCTCCTGAGCTGGCTCYGTCGGTGCCCACAGGCTCCTCTTGCCAGCAGCGTGGCGCCGCTTCGTTAAACACGGGCCACAAGTCTTAATGAGCAATGGGGGGAGCCAGCACCTCCCCTGGCTGCATCCGGAGATAATGCCCTGTCCCGCTGCAGGGCTGCTCCACAAACACAGCCCCTCGCTGGGGAGGCCAGCCCTCGGYGCCCCGCGGTGAGCACAGCAGTGTCCCTGGTGCCAGGAGGAGCCCCGTGTCTATAGGTTCTCTCCAGGCTGGTACTGGGGCTCTGTCGAGGTGAAGTAGTCCTCCAGGAACGCCTGCAGGTACTCGAAGGTGGGTCTCTCCTCCGGGTCCTTCCGCCAGCACTGGCACATGAGGTCGTGCAGGGACTCGGGGCACTCGGGCGGGCAGGGCATGCGGTACCCCCGCTCCACCTGGTCCAGCACCTCCCGGTTCACCATCCCTGCGTGCAGCCAGAGGAGACAGCGCTGATCAGAGCCAGGCCAGGGGTGCTGTGCTGGGACACACCTTAGGAGGAATCCCAGTGACCAGGGACAGAGAGGCCCCAGCCAGCAGCGCTTGTCCCTGTCACCTTTCTCGGGGACTAGAGCAGGACAGGAGGGCTGGGATGCTGCATCCCGGCCAGTATCTGCTCACCCCAGAGGGGCAGGATCCAACCTGGGAAGGGGCAGCTCAGGGGCAAGTGCTGGGCATGGACAGCTGGTATTGGGCAGTGCAATGGGGACAGGGCCTCTGGCAGCAACTGGCAGCCCTCACCTGGGTATGGCACTCTGCCCTTGGTGGTCAGCTCCGTCAAGAGGATGCCAAAGGACCAGACGTCYGACTTGATGGTAAACCTGCCGTACAGAGCCGCCTCGGGGGCCGTCCACTTGATGGGGAACTTTGCACCTGGGTGGAGAGGCAGGGTCAGGGGCTGYCTCCAGGACTCTGTGCCACCAGAGCCACATGCCCCCAAACCGTGGGGACCAGTGGCCATTGCTGCGGTGCCACCTGCCCGTGTGTGGTGGTGGCAGCCCCGGGCACACACCTTGCCGAGCCGTGTACTCGTTGTCCTCRATGAGTCGTGCCAAGCCAAAGTCAGCCACTTTGCACACCAGGTTCTCCCCCACCAGGATGTTGGCTGCCCGCAGGTCCCGGTGCACGTAGTTCATCCTCTCCACGTAGGCCATGCCGGATGCGATCTGTGGGGAGCAGCACGTGGGCACTGCKGCTCACAGGGTGACACGAGGGTCCCCAGGGAGAGCCCAGCACCACTGAGGGGAGCAGCTCTGCAGTGGGGCCCAGCCGGGGTGTGGGAAAAACCAGTGGCTCAAGAAGTGCCATGCAGACTTGGGTTTGCTGGCAGCAACGGGAATGGGCAAAGTGATGGTCCCAGAGTGCAACCCAGCTCTGAGCTGAGACCAAACAGTGGCACCTGCCCAGGAGAGGCTGCAGAGCACCCCACTGCCTCACCAGTGACAGCCACCACAGCCCAGTGAGGAGCTCAGGCAGCCAGTGCCCTCCCAAGGAATGTGGGAGGCCCAGGGATGTGCAAACCCACCTGAGCAGCCATATCCACGAGCTGGGGCAGGCGCAGGTACTTGCCCATCTCCCCCTTCAGGAAGTCCAGGAGGCTCCCTGTGAGGAAGAGCGAGGTCAGAGCAATCCAGAGGAGCAGAGCCCCTCAGCTGCCTCCTCGCTGTCCCCCCCTGCTCACCCTTGCTCATGTACTCAGTGACGATGTAAATGGGCTCCTCTGACACCACGGCGTAGAGCTGGACCAGCTTCTCGTGCCGGAGCTTCTTCATGACCTGGGCTTCCTGCAGGAAGGCCTCTGGGGACATGGTGCCAGGCTTCAGAGTCTTGATGGCCACCCTGGTGGTGCCATTCCAGGTCCCTGTGGCACAGGACAGGCTGCTCAGGACAGACATAGTGGGCAGGGGGCYGTGTCCCTCCCCTGCTCCCCCACCCCACCACAGGCTCCAGGCATCTGCAGATGCTGGGGACAGGATCGTTGGGGACACAGAGGGGACAGCAGGGTGGCAATGATCCTTACCCATCCACACCTCTCCGAAGCAGCCCTGGCCCAGTTTGACCTCCAGCCGCAGTGACTCCCGGGGGATCTCCCAGGCATCCTTGGCAAGGCCTTGGGTCTGGGGCTTGGACGTGGGGCAGACGTTGGTCAGACGGTGGCACAAGCCATCAGCGTGTTCTGGCACAGGAAGGGACAACAGCAGGGTGACACATGGGCATTGAGGCACGTGGTGTCTTCACCCCCCATCATCCCCACCAACACCTTGGGGACCCAAACCCAAACCTTCACCCCGTGGGGCTGAGCTTTCCACCAGGGCCCCACATACMACAGGTGTACCCCAGCTCAGCAGTGACCTGCCAGCAGCACCCGCCCTGCAGTGAGGACGAGCACAACGCCCAGGGTGCCACCCTGACCCCCAGGGGACCCTGYGTGGCTACCCACTGGAGTAGTAGGCCACCAGCTGCTGCAGGCTGTTGAACTGGGTGCGGGAGGTGATGTAGAAGCCGCCACTGTCCAGCTTGCGGATCTTGTAGTGCTTCACGTTGAGCCCCTTGGCGTTGTCAAAGTCGGACACAGAGAGGCAGTAGGCACCTGTGGGCAGGACACAGGGCTGGGGACATGTGCCAGGATGGGTGCTCCCCACGGGTTCTGCTGCGGGTGGGCACGGGGCAGGCAGGACTGGGCACGGAGGTGCTGCTTTCACCCAAAAGCAGAGGATGGGGAGCAGCTCCRGGCACAAATCCCTGGTCACAGCCATGCCCAGCTGGCCCCTGCCTGCACAGCAGCTGTGCCACCAGCCATCCTACGGGATGTGCTGACAAGGGGACAGGAGCAGGCACAGCCAGCCTGGGGAGCTGCTGACCAACAACCCCCCAGGCTCTCAGAGAGGAGCCGAGGGGCTGGAGAGCCCCATTCCCTCCTCTACAAATCCCACCACGGGCATCACTGCAGGAGCTTGGGGCTGCTCTGCCCACGGGAGAACAACGTGGTGTTGCTGGGGCCGCAGACAGCAGAGGGGAAGATTGATGCTGCTGCTTGAAGGAGCTGCTTGCACCAGAATCAAATAAATAGTGGTGAGTTCAGGGCRTAAAACCAGAAAAGAACATCAAGGGACTTTTCCCAAAGGTGCATTTGGAACCAAACTGAACCAGGTAAGAAACATCATCCTTAGGCAGTCAAACCTCAAAGATCACCAGCTCTTGCTTTCAGGAGACAGAAGACAAGTATAAAGAATCATCAGACTTGAAAAAAGGACTGAAGTTCATCACTCCYTCAGCCTGCCTGCCCAAGAAGCAGAAGTTGAACATTTTCCCACCRTAGAGGGACCAAGAGGAAAACCAAAAATACATCTAGCTGGGGGTGTACAAACACCCAACCAACCAAACCAATTAAAAAAAAAAACAGGAAAAGAGACCATCCTGCCTGGTGGTCCTGCCAGAGTTGGTGAGAACCCTGGCTTCCACCCTGCCASGGGCTGAACCACCTCTGTAAAGGGCACTCACTGGGCAAGCAGTGGTGGGAGAAAAGTGGTCACATCCCTGCAGCCCACAGGCTCGGTGGGGTGACTGCATTTGGCACAGATATGGCACTGGAGATGTGACCAGCCCTAGCAGGAGAGACTGAGGGGACTCAGGGCACCCCACACCCCCCAGAGAAAGGGTCTCCTCCAGGCCAACCCCTCCCAGCCCTGCTCACCTTTCGTGGTCTCGCTCTCCCGGACCAGGAAGGTCCCTCGGGGGTTTTCAGGGTTCAGCAGCAGCCGCTCGGACTCCCGACGAGTGATCTTCCCAAAATACCACCTGCAGGAGCAAGGCAGGGCTCAGCACCTGGCACTGTCCCCTGCACTGCCTGCCCAAGCAGGGGCAGCCCTGGCCCACTCACTGCAGYTTTGGGGGGCCAGGGGCTGTGGCTCCAGGTTCCAGCACCTCGGGGCGTGCCCTGTCCCTGCCATGGGGGTTGGAACCTTCCTGCCACACCTTCAACTTGACCAAGTTACTCAAAGCCCCATCCAAACGGGCTTTGGACACTTCCAGGGATGGGGCAGCCACAGCTTCTCTGGGCAACGTGTGCCAGGGTGTTGCTTCTTTTGAGTAAAGAATTTTTTCCTAACATGTAATCTAAATCTCTCCTCTTTTACTTTGAAAACATTCCCCCTTGTCCTTTCACAAGCCTCTCTGTGTAAAAAGTCTGTTTCTTTTTCAGAACCTCCTTGAAGTTCTGGAAGGCTGCAATCAGATCTCCCTGGAGCCTTCTCTTCTCCAGRAAAAYRAAACAGAACAGACCCAAAGCATCCACAGCCCTGCTCTGCCACCGCTCACCCCTCCACCACGCAAGCATGCTGCAGCACTGCCCTTATGGCCTTAGAGAAAGGCTGGTTTGCACATTCAAAGGGGAAAAATAACAAAAAGGAAAAACCCAGAGGGCTTGGAGGCTTCTCCCACGAGAGGAGCAGGGGTGAGGGGGAGCGCTTGGGGTATGTTTGCTATCGCTTGTCTTTAAACTGACTAAAAGATGGCAATTACTCTTCAGCCTGGATGGAGTCTGAGGGCGCGACATAGTTACTGGGGATGTAGCCCGTCTGTCCTGTAGTGAGGGAATGAGCCAGCCACCAGTCACCTTCCCTGCAAGAGAACCAAAACACACTCAGTGTGAAGCCAGGAGCCCCCCGGCCAGCCCCTCGCCCGCCCACAGGCACCGGGGGAGGATGAGCAGCACAGAGCCCCACCAGGAAAGGGGTGCAGCCCCACCAGGAAAGGGTGCAGCCCCACCAGGAAAGGGTGCAGCCCCACCAGGAAAGGGGTGCAGCCCCACCAGGAAGGGGTGCAGCCCCACCAGGAAAGGGTGCAGCCCCACCAGGAAAGGGATGCAGCCCCACAGCCCCCAGCCCCACAGCCAGACCCAGCCAAGAGTGCTCCTGCTGCCTGCCCGTGCCTCTGTTTGGGTGAGCTCCACGTACAGAATGCTTTAAAATTAAATCAGGCAGGGCAGCCAGCAAGCCAAAGTATCTTTGTAGTCACCTGAATGGGAAGGGGATCTGGCTGGAGGTTGTGAGGCACTGGGGGTCCTGGCAGCAGGGAGCAGCAGGCAAAGGGAGGGACAGGAAAGGGGGAGAAGCGACAGAATGATGGCGGTGATTAAAAAAGGCACCAGGAAAACCCAAGGGAGTTAGTTAAACACAGGCTGCAGAAAAGCAGCAGGACAGGGCTGAGGTTTGGGCAGGGGCTGAGCCCTGGCCAGCTGTGGTGTCCAGCCTGGGTGTCCCATTTACAGCCCCAGGATGGGCACCCTGCAAGGCTCAACCCCGATCATGAGCCTCCAGGATGTGCCTCCTTGTCCCCAAAATCTGGGCCTGAGCCACCATCCATCCCTCCTGCCCCGGGCACAGGGGCCCCAGGAGCTGGAGGGTTCTCTGCCCTCCTTCCCACCGGCTGCTGCTCCGGACAGGGCTGGAAAGGACAACAAATAAAGAACAAGAGGACCGCAGGAGGTGGCTTCCCCTTCCTGCAGGCAGCAGGGCTTTTCCTCCCACCACCTGCATCTCCTTGCCCATCAAAGACAGCCACTGAATTCATCCTGACCACAAGGGAGACGAGGCTACGGGAAAGCTGCAGCTTCGTGGGAACAGCTCCGTAAGGATACGAGAACTTGGCAGGACGAGCTCCTCAAACATGTCACAGAAAAACACCAACAACCTCAGCCACCACTACAAGGCTCASCAGACCACAGCCAGACCCGTCCCTGACCCTGCAGACGTGGAAACCTCCATCCCTGCTCTGGACTCACCCATTGCTTGTGACCAGGGCTTTTCCCAGCTAAACCAGTGATGCTTCAAAGCACTGGGATAACCCAGACACWGCYCCCAGCTCCCTGCAATGGTGTCAKTGGGGCTGGGGATAGTGGGGATCTTCCAGGCATCTCCTCCCACCCACAGAGCTGGGCTCTGTCCCTGRACCAGCCTCACTGGATGACGTTTTAGCTTCTTCCAGCCCCAGCACATCTCACGGCAGGCAGCTTGTGCTCCTCAGCCTGGGCTGTTGGCCCAGTCACCTTCACTGAGGTGGCTCTGGAGCAGACAGGAGGCTGGTTGGGCTCCTTTCCCACAGCACCAGAGTAAACATCTGCTTGAAAAATGCCCAGCTTTTGACTTGTGGCTTTATTCCAGCTTGGGCTGCAAGGCTACAAGCTGGGAATTCAGCAAAACAAACTATTCCAAAAATGTCTCAGTGGGGAAAAAAATAATAATAATCATCATCATCAAAACAAAGCATTTCAACAATTCCCTGCACAATCTTACCCAAAATATCCCACCACATCCCAGCTGGCTGCCTGAAGGCTGGGAGGAGATTTCTTCCCACTGCAAATGGTACCACAAGAGCCTTTCTGCACTGGGAGGATTGGTAGGATGACCCAGAGCAGGGAGGTGAGTGATGTGGAGGCTTCTCCTCTCACCCTGAGCAACCCCAGCCCTGTCAGAGCAGCCAGAASCTGCTGCCACCCTGCAAATCCACCCTGGCCATGGGCTCCCGCTGTGCCCAGCACCTGCCAGCCCTTCCTGGACTGAATCTGAGTCCCCTCCCCACAGCTCCAGGGCACTGACTGTCCTGGAGGGAGCCCAAAGGAAGGGGACATTGCACATTTGCCTGCTGCTGTCCCCAAAGTGCAGCAGCCTGAGCTGTTCCCAGACTGTGTGAGCATCTCTGGGAAGYCAATGAGGAGAGTGATTCACCCCCTGAGCACTGCACAAACCACCCAGCTTCCTGTACCAYCTCTGTCCCTGTGCACATCCCACCCACACAGACACTGGGAAGGTTGGGAAGGTTGGCAGCCACATCCTGCACCCTCCACAAAAGGACTGTGTCACAAAAAAAAACCTCTTTGGATCCCCAGGATGCTGCAGAGCCCATCACAGACTGACCCTTCCCTCTGTCCAAGCCTTTGACAAAGAGCAGCAGAAGAAAAAAAAAAATGTGGAAACCCCAGAATGGATACAAGGTGTAAAGAAAAAACCCTCATATGTGGGCCCAATATGGACCCCCACAGAGCTAATTTTGCCCAAACCAGAACCCAAGCATGGAGCTCACACACTGCTGAGACTGGAAATAAGAAGCACCAAAATCCCCAAATTCAGACTCTTCCTGCAGCATTGAAGCCCTGCACATCCTGGCCTTTGTGAATGAAACAAACCATTAATAAACAGCATTGGAACAATGAGAACAAGGATCAGATTGAAAACATGTTTGTGCAACACTGCAGGGGAAATCTCACTCGTGGGATGTTCCCTCATCCTTCCACCCTTTGACTTTGCAAAGCTGTTTTGGGTGCCCATGCTGGAAGGCTGCAGACCCTCAGAACCCTGTGGCAGCTCCATGGCTGGGGACATCGGGGACATTGGCTCTGCCAGCCAGGCTCTGGACTGTGTGTGCCTCATGTCAGGACAGATCACACTTGGGYTCAATACAGGATCATTTCTGGGAGCATCTTCCAGCTGCCCATGCTGCGCTGCACGTGATGGATGTGCTGTGGTGACCAGGATGGGGAGCAAACCAGGGGGCCAGACCCAGGAGGAAATACCTGAATCACCAGAGCCACTCATGAAATATGAAAGTAAAATTAAAAAATTCAGAAGGAAAGTGAAAAGGCCAGGGGGGAGTGGAGAGCCAGCTGGAAAGAGAGTGCAGAGGRGAGGCAGGCATGGGCAAGGAAAGGGGATGGGTTCAGATCTCCAGGTGCAGACACAGCTCTGTTCCCCACCATGGGAAGGGACTCCCTGCTCTGTTCCGGTCACTCAGGGAGAACAAATGCAACCAACCACAAAACCACCTGGAAACCATCTCCTCCCAGCCYCACTCCATCCAACCTGCCCCAGTGTGGACAGCAGACAGGCTTTGATCACTTAGGTCATTTATAGTAACAGKAAGAATGTGCAATACACACCTGACATCCACTTTTCTCCTAAACGACAGCATGGAGGGAGAGAAAGAAGAGTCAAGAGAGAAGCTGAGATCAGAGGCAGTGTACAAGCACAGGGGAAAGCACCCACAAAGCTCAGGGATGTGTCCAGGCAAATCAGAGGGAGCTGAGCAGGGATGGGGATGGGACTGGTGGGGATGTGGCTCTGCGTTGTAGGGCACAGAATGGCCAGCAAGCAGAGGATGTGGCTTGGTGACAAGGCTGCGAGGCCACAGTGACCAGGAGCAGGGCCAGGAGGATGAGGAAGCAGGCAAATGAGTGCTTCCAGTGTCAGTGTCCTTGGACAAGTCACAGTGTCCGTGTGCATTTTGGCACATCCCTCTGAGCACCCACCCCTGGGAGAGCTGGTCCTGCCGGGCTGGGGGTGCCTCAGGAGGGACAGAGGTGACAGCTCACCACACGGGCTCGGCTGCAGGGACAGGGACACTCACGTGTTGTTGACAATTTGCAGGCGCTCTCCTTTCTTGAAGGACAAGTCGGTTTCGGTCCGGGACTCGTAGTCGTAGAGRGCCACGAAGGTGGTGACGCCTCCTGTGACAAAGAGCATTCAGGAGGGGCCCAGCCACGGGTGTGGCCACAAAACAGCGCTGGGACCCTCCCTCCATCCTCCCAGTATCCCATAACACACACACATYTGCTTCTCCCCAAGCCCAGAGTCCCCCAAAAGCCCGAGAGCCCAAGAAGCTGGACCCAAACCCACAGACCCTCCCCACCCTGCCGAGCGCAGCCCATACAGACCAGCCAGTGCCCCCGCACGCTGGGGYGAGGTGACGGTGTCAGAGGTGTTGAAGCCTCCAAAGAGCTTGGAYTCAGCAGCCATGGTCCCGAAGGAGCGGCTGGGGGTGCGGTGGGCATCGGGAGCAGCCGCCTTGCTGGGTGTCTGCGAGGCAGAGAAACCCCCATGGTGCGTGTTCTCCGTGGGCTCCAGGCTGCGCCGGCGCTGGCTGGGATCCTTGGGCTTGCTCTTGCTGCTCCCCATGGTCCCGGGCTGGAGGACACACACAYATAGAGGGGGCTTCTGTTATTTTCATTATTATTGTAATTATTATTGTTAATAACAAGAAGTAGTTTCCCAGGGCTCGAGTGACAGATGCCCGCCCATCAGGAAACGAAACAACCTCTGGARTCAGTTCAAGCAGCAGCTGCTGGGCAGTCTGGCCATCCTGCCCTTGCCCTGGGACACCATCGCCCCTCATTAACACTGAGACACCTCCTGTGGCTGCAGCAGCCACAGAAASGGCCAGGACACGCTTTGGGAGCTGAGGAAAGCGTGCTGAGCCACGGGAATAAAGAGCAAGGATGCTGAGCGTGRAGCCTGGACCTGTGCCGAGGCTGTGGCAGCTCTGGGGCCAGGCATCTGCTGTGGGACATAGCCACATCCACACATTTCCTCCCACGTGAGAGTTTCTACCAGGATGGAGATTTAAGTACTGAAGATGGGTCTTTGAAGTCCAAAACATGCAGCAAACGGGATAAAAGTTTAAATCAGGAGCAGTTTCAGGCGGTTTGCAGCTAAGGACCAAGGGATCTCTCCTTTATATATAGTCAAATAGTTTATATATAGCCTTCCTTTCCACTCAAGACCACACTCTATAAATACCTTCAAGGTAATGACATAAATGAAGGCAGGGAATTATTTGCAGTCTCCAAAGATGGCAGGATACCCAGCAGTGTCCTGAAGCTATGGAAGGAAATATTTAGGCTAGATCACGCATGGCAGCAGGGAAGAGGGAGGTGGAGACAACCAGGGAGGAGAGCAGCTCTGATCAGAGAACACAAGCAGGGAAGGGGCAGAGGAGGCAGCGCTGCCCACGGGGTGCAGACCTGGCCACAGCCACCCGTGAGGATTTGGGAGGGCTCAGCCTCAGCCAGCACAGGGGATTTCTGGCCCAGATTTGGAGAGAAGCTCGGGCCAAGCCCCCAGAGCCTGCACAGCCCCAGGGTCAGTGGGGCAGAGCCCTCARMTCCTGCTGTGGGAAAGCTCAGCAGTGCCAGGCACAAGCTCTGCTCCCTGTCCCCCTCGGCTCCCCTCCCACAGCGAGGGCTTTGCCTGACCATCAGGGTTTATTTCCCAAAAGACACAATTTCCATCTACTGTTTTCCAGCTCCCACATTGCACAGAGGACCAGCAGTGTCCTTGTGTGACCCGTGCCGGCAGGCTCAGATCCTGCCAGGGTTTGGGAAATGTAATAAACTGGGTTGTTTTAGGCTGGGTATGACTCCAGCAGCCACTCCAGTGGGCAGAAGAGCTGTCCYTCCTCCTGTGGATGCAGGTGATGATGAAGAGGGACCGTGCCTCTGTCAGCCACAGGACTCAGCCCACCCATATCTGTGCCAGGCTTTAAAATAAAAGCTTTGGACTTGCAAATGGTCACTGCTGGCAATCCAGAGGCAGATCCTGCAGCCAAGACAGACAGAAGGAGTCTGCCCCATGAATAAATGCAGTTTTAAAGCTTGCTGCAGAAGAAGCAGAACTGCAGGGGAGAGCAGGACCGCAGGAGTGATGACAAGGAGCCCCCACCTCCCTGTCCCCAGCCAGTCCCTTGCTCACCTCTGCCCGGGGCTCTGGCACTCACTGGGACGCCAGTGGCAGTGCAGGGAGAAAAATGGGAGCATGGTGGGGCTGTGACCGTGTGGCTTGTGACTYGCCACGGGACTGTGAGCAAGAGCAGAGCTGCTCAGAGTTTCCCCTGGAAGCAGCACTTCCCCAGGCAGAAGAACACCCCAGCCAGGGTGGTGGATTTAGCAGCACTTYGGGGACACAAGTGTCCCCCAAGCACATTTTCTGAGCCTGGGTTAGAAAATTATTTATCAGGGTGCTGAGAAAATCAGGGTATGAAATGGTCAATATGGCCAGAGATTAGTCAGGAGCAGAGAACACAGAAGGGAGAGGGGATCCCCCAGGCACTTCCCTAAAACTGGGGAGGGTCCTTGCATTCACACCTGTGAGCCTGAAAGTGCAGCTTCCAGGCACATCCCAGCCAGGGACACTGAACTGTGAGCTCATCCCTCCTCATGCCGTGGTTTGGGCAGGGGGAGCTCCCACYCTGCACTGAGGTGCTGACCCTCCCAGGAAAGGAGGGGTGTGCTGGTCATCGGGACACCGTGCTGTGACAGAGGCCAGTCCAACTGTCAGGACTTTGGCTGCAAGAGCCAAAGATGGACGAGGAGAGGAGGAGGAAGAGGCGGAGGAGGCACCAGGCCTCTGGGGAAGGGGCTGCAGAGCAGCAAGCCCCCACGCCAAACCATCCTGTTGCTTTGTATCTAAATACCTGCACACTCTGACTTCAACCTGGCCAGTGCAAAATGCAGGCTGGCAACCCCAAACTGTGCCCAGAGGCCCTGGCAGCCTCGAACCATCCCCACTCTCATGTAACTTAGCCAACACGGCCATGTGGCTTTAGCCCTGTGGCTCTCCACCTGTCCTGTGGGAGGAAAGGGGCCTGAGAAATCCCCTGCAGCCCCCACATTCCCTCAGCAGCCAGCAAGGAAAGGGTGCAGATTCCCCTGGGAGAGCGCAGGGTTGTGCAAGAGCCTGGCAAAGGAGTGATTAATGACAGCAGGAATGTGCTGTGCACTCAGGTCCTCGGGAGGCACCAGGGAGAGACCCCTGAAATCCCCCCGGAGTCAAAGAGCRGAGCAGCAAGTGGGTGAGCCCACCCAGCACAGCCCAGCATTATCACTGCGAGCTGTGGGACAGCATCACCGYGGCCAGACTGCAAAAAACACACACTGCCAGCAGCTGTGCCGTGTATATCTAATAAATTTATGTCTAATAAATACAGCATTTCCACACGCAGCACGCTGCAGGGATGCTCAGCACCCCCAACACCCAGCCTGGCTGATGCCCAGTGGGATATTCCCCTGCTCCCATCCTTTTCACAGCTGACAGTGCTGGGATGGGGGGCTCAGCASTGCTCGGTTTGCAGCAGGACTGCTCCTGTCCCCCTCCCGAGGCTTGTGCAGAGGGCTGGAGCCCGGCCAGCATTCCCTGTGCTCGGCTCGGAGCGATGCGAGGCGGCGGACGGACGGGCAGCTTTCCTGCGGCGGGGATTAGCAGCCCGGGCACGTCGCAGCCTGCAGGAACTCCCTGCGTTCCGCTCCGGGGGCAGCGCCAGCGGAGCATCGCCAAACACCTCCGGCATGAGCTGCGGGGGCTCAGCTCCGCACACCCGGCCAGGGCTGCGCCTTCCGCACCCGCACCCACCCCAGCCCATCTGGGGATGCTCCGGGGCCGGTCCGGCTGCGGCAGAGCTCCCGGTGCCACAGCTCTGAGCCCCCCGGCAGGTAAAGCAGCCCGGTCCTCCCTCCCCGGGCCATCGGTGATGTCTTACCGGTGCTCTCGGCTACAGCCCGGCCGCGGGGTGGGGACTCAGCTCAGCTCCCGCTGCAGCCTGCGAGGAGAGGGAGCGTCAGCACCCGCAGCAGCCCCGCGCCCCGACACCCTCTCCCGCCACGGCCCAGTGCCCAGGGCTGCCTTCATCCTCCTCCTCCTCCTCCTCCTCGCCATCCCTCCGGCGCGGGGCCGGCAGCTCACACCCGCTCGCTCTGATCTCTCATGTGTGAAGAGGGGATGATTCTCTGCTCCACTTCATCAAACCCACTGGGGATGGGAGAGGAGGCGGCTGGAGCCGCCCCGAGCGATGTCCCAGAGAGGAAGGGGAGCACAGCCACCCCCAGCCCACCAAGGGATTCTTCAGGGGAAGAGCAAAGCCAGTTCCTCCTGACACACCGGCATTTCCAGCCCTGCTGCTCCATCCCCGGACAGCCACGACCTGTGRTAGGGATGGTCGGCCACCAACTAGRGACCTTGTCCCCCGGGATGAGCCACCTGCTCCATCCCCAACGGCAGAGACAAATGCTACGGCACAAACCATGCACAAGGTAACCTGTGCTGCTCSAGCCCTGACTCATCCAGAAAAGCCTATTTTAGCTAAATTTTTTTTTAAAAGATGGTTTTCTGTCACAGGGGGGACACTTAGCAGCAGTGGCTTGGGACAGAGCGTCAGGTGGAAAGCAGAGCAGGACATGGCCCCGCAGAGCCAGGACAGCCCCTCACCTGGCTTTGCCATCCTTTCCCAACCMCAGATCCTGCAGGAACTGAGCTCTCGTCTCTCACCAAAAGGAAATTCTCCCACTGCTCACCCAGTGCCGGGCAGAGGCTTCAACCACCCCGAGGAGCTTCTGCTCCTACATAGAGAGGATCCAGACCCCACTTCACAGCCCCAAGCAATATCCCAACGGGCTCCTGTCCCAGCTGGAGCCCAGCTTTCACACCTCCCCCAAGGGGAACATCCCAGGTTTCACACCTCGTATAAGGGGAACACCCCAGTGTCTGCATGCAGGGGCCGTGCCCCACCGCAGGTTTGTTTTCATGGCCTCCCCTTCCCCCCTGCTAACAAATTTTGTCACTATTTTTAGTGCATTTGATTAGGATAATGAGTGGGAGCTGACTGACAGCTCTTTAAGACGGTGAATAGTTTGTAATTTGTACTTGACAAATACTGGCTGGTAATGATTGCACAGCAGGGTGGAGGGGGGACGCTGCAGCCCCAACTCCAGGCTGCAGCACATACAAATAAAGMTGCGCCGCGTACACACGTGGTGCCCGTGTCCCTGCCACCCGGGCACGCTGTGACACGGGCTCAATCGTGATTAGACAAAAAAGGGTGAAAAAAGCCACGAGGAAAAACCAAGTATGCCTCAGTCTAAGGTCAACCACGCGCCAGAGCAGCAAGCAGCCAGGTCCTCTACTGGGCAAGGGGCAGGTCCCTGGGGGGATGGATGCATTAGCAACCTCACGCTGACAGATTTGGCGATTTGGTGACTGAAGGTGGCTGCTGTGGCACATGTGGCAYAGCCTGGCACTGTCCTGCTGCTCACCTGGCAGGGRGCTGYCATCCTCATCAGTATATCACGGTCACAGCCACAGCCAGGCTCAGCCGACCGGCCAGCACTGCCACCTTCACCCATCTCCGTGTGCTGCTGGCTCGGCATTTGGGGTCTGCCCGATCCCCATTCCTCCCCAGCCAGAGGGGAGGGTGCCAGGGCTGAGCTCAGCCATGCAACCTGCCCGGGGCAGAGGCCGCAGCAAGGAGAGGCCGACCCCGCCCTCCCCTCTCCAAAAGCAATTAAAAATGAAGCACACTCGGCTGCACAACTCAGCTCGGATCAGATCACGGCACGCGAGAGAGCGGCACCCCCGTCCCCCGCTGCGGGCGCWRGAAACGCCACCTGGWCTYGCCAGCATCYCCCCGCCTCCGACACCCCGCTCCAGGCTGCTGCCCCCCAAAATTAACTGGAAGGTTGGGTGGCAGGAAAAGGCTCCATCCTCAGCCCTACCTCCCTGTGGAGAGACGCTCTCGCAAAGGCGACAGCGAGGGGAAGCGGCAGCTCCCGGGCCAGCCCCGCTGCGGCTGGGTCGCTCAAGGATGCAATGGCCGTGTACGGGCAGGCTGACAGCGGGCTGGCGGGCAGGGGAAGCGATCTTATCGTCTTCGCAAARACACTAACAAAAGACACTGATTGGGAGCAGACAAAACACAGCAGAGGCAGAAACCTTGGGAAATGCCGCGACAGGCTGGGGCCCAACACCAGACACCGAGCTTTGGGGAGGGAAACATCTCCGGCAAAACAGGCGGTGTCCTTGGGGCTGCTCCGGAGCCGGGGGATGCTGAGCGGCACTGCCGGCGGTGCTGGGGAGAGGTGGGCGAGGGGCTGGGAGCACCAGCACACACCCACTGGTGGAAGGAGCCGAGCTGAGCCGCGTCCTCAGCTCGCAGAGCCCCGCTGACATTAATCACGGCAACTGTCTCACACCAGACTGAAAAATGAAGCGTGCGGGACGGCGGGCGAGACAAAGCAGCCTGGCGGCACCCAGCCCATGGCAGCCGGCTCCCGGGACAGGGAGAGGCACACAGCAGCGGTCCCAAACACACCCAGCCCCCTCCATCCCCTTGGCACACCACCAACCCCCYCCCAGCAGGGCTGGGGGCCAGCCGGGGCAGATCCGTGCAGGACCGATGGAAGYTGCTTTCAAGGGGGCCATTAAACCAGAGGTCCAGGCTGGAGGCAGCCAAAGGGCACTTTGCCATCCCCCGTGTCTCCCTGCGTGGGTGGCACGAAGTGGCAGCGGTGCCGCCCCTGACAGCGGGGTCAGTGCTGCGGGKGGAGTCCCAGCTCGGGCAGTGCTGCTGTAACCACATCGAGGCGGTCTTTTAGTCACCTTAAGGTCCCTTAAGGTCCCCTTGCCCGCATCGCTCTCTGCTCCCTCCCCACATCTCGGTGGGACTCCAGCCCCGGATATGCTCGCACAACAGTTTCCCCCTCTGTCCCAGGGGATGCTCCTGGTTTTGCCCTTTCCCACGGCAAGCACCACAGTTGGGGGCCAGCAAGCAGCAGCACAGCCCCGCTGCTTTGGGGACAGCCGTGCTGGCCCAGCTCAGCCCACCATCCCCTCTGCCACCCGAGTACAGCCAGTCACTGTGTCCCCTACGGAAAGAGCAATTCCTGTCCCGTGTACCATGGCATCAGGTTTTGCTCAGTACAAAACAAGGAACAGGGGCTTGTCTCTGCCAGGCTGAGAGCAGCCTCACTGCAGTGAGTTCCAGGAGCTCACTGGAGAGAGTGAGAAGGGGGAAGTTGTTCCTCCAGCCCCACAAGTGGGGTGTGATGCTGCAGACCCTCTCCCTGCCCGGCTGACTCAGTCTGGGCTGTGCCTCCAGCCCTTCTCCTGCACAAGGACACTCATTTCTCACCTGCACTGACTCCCAACCCAGGAGCAATGCAGAAATGCTCACTTCATCTCTCAGCTCCAACCTGCAGACAGGAGAAGCCACAGGCAGGTGCCCCCAGTGCCTGTCTGGGATTTCTCCTTCACCCCATAACCTGAGCCAAGGCACTCCAGCCATCCCCTGGCTCCCCCAGCTGATGGAGAGCTCTTCCAGCTGAAGGAACGGCTGGAGTAGGGAGAGCAGTGCAGCTGCTGTGCGGGGGCCCAGCTACACACTCCCCACAGTCATAAGTCCCAACCCCTCCTTATCTGACCCTGTCAACTCCCATTAAAATTAAAACCATCTTAATTAAAGCTCCACAGCCCAAGACAGCAGAGGCCAGTGCGTCACAAAAGGGGAAAGGATAATTAGATCAACCATCCAAAATCACTCCCCCTAAGCACAGGGGAGAGTCACGGTCAGGAGCGATGCAGAACGCCTCCAAAAAGACATGTCAAAACAGGGAGTTTGAAAGACCAAAACAAACCTCTGAGAAGCACACAAGCACATTCTGGATGTTCATGTGGCCAAGAAACTGGGAAACTCCAAACATGCACAGCAGGAGCATGCAGGGAGCTTGAGCTCTCCCTGCCATCAGCCCCTCCACAGGCAGMTTTTGGCTTGCTGGGGTGATGGGCAGTGGCTCTGCCAACACCAGTGGTCACAGAGCTGCAGGCTATGCCACTCTTGTCCCCTACAGCACCCCAAAACAGGCAAGGGCAGTGGCATCCTGACACTGGGCACCCCCATCTTGCATAAGGCTGGYGGGAGAAAGCCACAGACTTTATCTCCCTGGAACAATGCAGCAGCTGAACGGAGGCAGCAGGATGTGCTGCAAGTTGTGCTTGCTGGTGCTGAGCTGAGCACTCYGTTTTAAGCCTTTTCTCCACAGAGAGATGTGAGAAGGAAGGTGGCCACTGCCACACCTTGTCACATCCCGCCAGCCTGGGGACCCACAGGGTCCTTTCTGCACTCTAAGGGCATCCAGCAATTAAAGAAGGGAAAAGAAAGTTTTCTCACCCTGAGGGTGGCCCAGCACAGGGACAGAGGCTGCAGTGRTGGTGGGATCCCAGCAGGAGATGCTCAGAGCTGGCTGGGTGCTGTGTAGCCTGACTGCTGTGCTGCCCTGGCTCGGAGCAGGGATATCTCCCAGTGCCTCCCAGTGCCTCCCAGCCTGACTCAAGCCTGCACTTCCAGCATCAGGATGTCAGCCAAAGCCAGGGATTGCCCAACCAGCTCCAGCAAATGCTTTCCAAGGCACACAAAGCCTTTGGCCTGTGTTAACCTGAAGCTGGCTTCTCCCAGACAGGTGATGAGGGCACYGCTGTCCTCCTGCCAAGAGCAGGAGAAGGAAACTGAAAGGAAATGCTTCCAAAGGTAGGAGTGCCCGTGGGGCTGGGAAGGGACAATGCTGGGCAGGGAAACTGATGTCGAGCTGGAATGGCAGTAAGAGCTGGAGCTCTTGGCCACAAGGACTGCCTGGAGCCACAGTGCAATTCTTCCCCAAAAAAGCTTTCTGGCTCAGCACTCCTCAAAATGTGCCCTTTTAACCTTAGCCCCCGGGCATGCTGGCACCTCTGAGCTCCCACTGCCTGCCACCTGATTCTCCAACTTCCTATGCCCATCACATCAGCGCTGCTCCCATCCTCCTCCAGGCAAAACACCAGCA